CAACAAAAACCAGGGTTGCAGATCAGGTGCTAATGTTCAGGTCTGCCCTTTAGTGATGTGAGTGTACTAAATGGCAGATGGGAATGTTGATGATTCACGGAATATATTTGTGTGTCAACACTACCTCACCATAAAACAGCTTACCCAGAGGGATATGGAACTTAAAATTTGTTTTCAGTGAAGCCTGCTCTGTAGTACAAATACAGTGAGCTCTTGCTGTGAGAAGACAGATGGGAGAGCCCTCTGTTATGCTTGTCTAATCACCTGAGAGGTGCCTTTCTGCTGCTCTTTGTGCTCTCTGGGTACTGCCCTTGCAGTCATGGCTAATAACAGCACCTACAGGCTGTGCTGGTTTTGTACATCCACTGCCAAGTCAGCCCCTGCTTACCTGTGATGTGGTTTTTCTGACTTGTGAGTTCTCACCTGTGTGTGACCACTTATCTCCTCCTGGCAGAGATTACAATATTCTCTGCTATGAAAAACTGCTGGGAGCTTGACATCCTCTTCCTGCTGCAAATCTTTGACCACTTCCAGCAGCTCCAAGGCAGCCCAGGGAGAAGTTGGCATTGACCACCTCAAATACTCTGCTATTCAATCTGAATAAATTTGAAAAACGCCACTTTTAATCTCTTGAGCTTTTACTTTCAGCTGCTTCTCTGCAATCATGATAGCCATAAATCACGTTTAGCCTAATCTCATTCCTCATTTTTATTTTTAGTATATGACTCCAGGAAGTGTGACTTTAAGAAATTATTTTAAAAAGAGCCAAATGCTCAGTAAAATCTGTCCTTCCAACAGTATTATTAGGCAATTCAATTAGTTTTGTTTTGACCTTTAGATGCCCAGTGTTGCTGGGCTGTGCCTGACATTTTGCCATTCAAGGAGTAAAGGATTATCAGCACAGGAACTTAACAGTAATTTTACAAGCCAAGTGGCTGCCACTCTGTCCTGTGGGTGGGACTTGGGCAGCACCTGTGTGACTTTGCAGTTGAGAAAAGTTGATTGCAAATTAGCAACTAAATATTTTATCACTGTAATTATCACCTGTTTTATTTCCTCATCTCCTCCCTTTAGAAGAGATAAAAAACCCCAGCTTTCTTGTTGTGCTCACAGAAATGATAATAAGTAATAATGTTATTTACTTAGTACACTGGAGTATGGAAATACTGAGATCACATGTGAACAAAAACGTAACTCATTTTGTCCTTTATGTTTCCTTCTGGAAGACTTTGACCTGTAAGTTGTAAAGAAGCTGGAGTGGAGCCTGGGTCACTCCCAGCAGTTCAGCTGTTGGAGCAGTGATTCATTTGTACCCATGCTTAGTTCCAGCTGTGGTGCTGATAATGAAAAGCTGACAGCTGAAGGGCAGAGGTGGAAAGGACTTTGCCCAGCAAGAGAGCAGCAATCTACAGCTGTGCTGCCTGAGATATAATTAGTTCACCAGTGATTTGATTACTCAACAGTCTACACGGATTCACAAGCTATTCACAGGACTTGAATTTCTAAACAGAATGTAGACAAAAGTTTCCTTTAATGTAGGACAAATCCCTGTAATGCTGTAGTAGGGCTGACACAGGCCACAGGATCTCTGCCATAGCTCTGTGTTGGACTGCTGTTAAAATGAGGTGCATAATTCATGCTCAGCACAGGCAGGTGAGACCATGACTCATTTGTGCCTCTCTAAAATATTAAACTTCCAGGCCACTTCAATTACAAGCCTGGCAAGACATACAACCTGATACAGTAAAATATTTATCTGTGTTACCCAGGTAATGGCAAAAGAATCCAGTCATTACAAAGAATGCTACTTGTGATTAATTATTTAATTAGTTTCTTTAATCATTTTGGCTGGCTAGGAGTAAAAAGAGCTGCAGTTGCATGGACATTTCACTTACTAAAGTATTTTGGAGATGCACGAAAGCTTTGCATCTTCAGGAATATAAGCCTTTAAAGTATTTGTGCATGTGTTAGTATTTGTGCAACTGTTAGTCTGAATCAGGGTGGAAGTTAAAAAGAAACTGGACAAACTTAAACTTCTGTAACAGCAAAAATTAAAGATGAATTCTAAAAGAGAATCTGAAAAAGATCTCAAGGTATTTGAGTTTGAGGAGAGAGAAATACTAACAGTGCATTTAATCAATGCACTCAAATAGCACATGTTAAGTAATGAAGCTCTACTGATTAAAGATTAATTTAAATGTTCTTGATGATTAGGTGTAATGTAACAGAATTAGTGCTTCCAAATTGCTAAAACGAGAATCTGGTCCATGAGCTTTCTTTTTAATCTAGATGGTAGCAAGAGCTAGGTTTCACATGCATTGTATCACAGGTCCAAAATTCAATTTTTTAATGTTTATGTAGGCAGCCTTGTTGAACTCTGAATGCAGACAACAGCTGTACTTAGCAGTGGACTTTGTCTGGAACTGAATGCATGCAAATGGCTCTGTATGTGAAACTGTAGAATGCACTGAAAAATCTGAGTATTCCAGCTCATGTTTCCCTGCATAATGAAGTCACTGACTAGCATGATCAGATTATAAAAAGTCATCTTTGGTGTTTATATAATACCTAGGTTCAGCTGAACTATTTTTAATCAGGAATTCAATTGTTTATCTTGTATGTTCTTTTATATCCTTTCATCCTGCATTTGCATACATTGTGATGACCTTTTGTGGAAACCCTGCAGGATTTTTATAACAGTTCAGCTGAAATTCAATGTGAACTTGATCAGCTGTTACAGGCTGGGTAGGATCTCACCAACACAGTTCACAGAGTGAAGAGCTTCTGTGAACAAGGGTACAGAGAGTTTTTCTGTGATATTCATTGCTTTTCTACTGGAACAGAATGTTAATCCATTTATTCTGTAAGGACATTTCATTTTTCCTCTGTTTTTAAAGATGGTGGCCAGAGACTGTAGGGTTTTGGCAATTGCTGATCTCTGAGCTGAAGCATTGCAAGACTAAAATTGCAAGTCAATGTTTTTATCTTTTTGTTTTGAACATCAAGTCAAGTAGTGTTTTCTAAGGCCTCTGCCAAATACTGGTGAAGAGTGACTGCTCCTAGGTGTGTTGGTTACAGCAGTGGTTTGCAAATCTTCCTGGCATTCTGCAGTGATTAAGGCTTCTGCAGAGTGTATTGCACAGTGTATTGGAGCAAGCTTGATCAACTTTTTTCCCTACAATCTATTGCCTTGATTTTGCAAATTCACAAGTGGATTCTAGTCAGTTGTGTCTTCACTCAGCTGCTAGCTTACGGTTTTTCATCCATCCTCAAGACAATCCACAGCTTCTAACAGGTCATCCTGCACAGCAGTGCTTGCACCCAGTCCTTCCAAATGCACCCAGTGATTCTTTCTGTAACTCCCTGAAGTTACCTTTGCAAAAGTTGTGATGCTTTGAGTTTCTGTCAGAGAGGAGGAGGAGCAGAATGAGAGGGCAATGCTGTGCATGTGTGTGGTGGGCCAGCAGTACACATCACCCTGGCTGCTTTACAGTCAGTGGCAGCCTCTGCCTGACCACGTGTCAGAGCTGCTCCCTTCCTTGCTCACCTTTCACAAGGAAAACTTAATGGTCAGGAGCAAATGTGAAGGTGTCTGGCAGCACAATGAATGGCAGAGATTCCTCACCTGGAATGTGAGCCTTTCTGCTGTAGATTTGGACACATGTAATTAATGTTTGCTCGAAGTCCTAGATACTGCTGCTGTTGTCTAGGAGAAGGAGCCCAGGGAATGTTTTTGTGCACTCATCTAACGACTGATGTTGGTTTAGGTTTGGGGTTGGTTGGCTGGGGGTGTTGTTTGTTTGTTTTTTAATGTGTACCACATCCTTAGGGGAGAGATGATCAATATTTAAGGAATGTAACAACTCCTATACTACCTCCACTTGGAGACAGAAGTTACCACAATAAGAGTGTGTGTTGTAGGGAGTGGAATGTGCAATATAATTTACATAGTCCAAATTACTGGCCTCCACCCCAACTGGAGACAGCAATAGCTGGTGTGGAGCAAGGAGGTGTCAAGCCTCTGCTTCCATTCCTCCCTGCCTTCAGGAAAATAAAGAGCTTATCACTGGGCATGGTAGATACTCCTGGAGATGTCTGAGACATTGCCCTGGCCGGGGCTGCTCCCTGCTAGATTGTCAGCTGGTAATCTCAGGCACCAAGATAGTCTGGAATTCAAGTACCACCCCATGGTATGTCCTGTTTCTTCACCAGTCAAGCCTGAGAACCCTTACTAACAAGCTGTCGCAAATGCAACATAATTTGTTCTTCAACTGTTGTTTATTTTTCTGTTCATCTTTGGTAGCTTTGCCTTGGTAAGAATTGAACTCAGTCATCACTAAGTATTAACAGTGGAAAAGAGGATGCAAGGCTGGGTTTGGGAGGCAAATTCCTTGGCATACACAAGTACAGAGAACATTAAATAGTAGGTTAAGTACTCAAGCTTACACTGTGCTGTATTGAGCTCTTTCTGCAGCATATTACTGCTTTGATCCATACTTACAGTTTGCCAATCATGACCCATTTTATGACAAGATAACATTTTACTTACTTTTTCACGTTCTTGCTCTGAGTGGGACTTTCTGCTTCTCTGTGAAAGGTTTGAATTAATGTCTTCTCTTTAGACAGATGCTGCCATCTAGAAGTGTTATCTGAAAGACATGCAATTAATTCTTGACCTCAATTAACTCAGTACCCCATTCTCACAGCTGAGTGTGATGAGCAGTTATGGTTCTATGATACTGAATTTGCTGTGATGCATCATTCAGCATTAACACAAGGCACATCTTGTTTGATAATTTTTCAGAACCTCAACACATCAGCCTGTTCTGTCTTCTCCTTCCTCCCCCCTTCCAAAACTTATAGTGGCTTCCACTGATGTCTCAGTCTTGACAATTTTAAGTGGAAGTAAGTGGAAAGACCTGAGTTCTACCAATAATGAGACTTCATTTATCAATCTCACAACTGCATTTAATGCCATTTTTTAACCCCCAAATCTGGGGATGGATCCCCACCTGAACAACATGGTGAGTGTCCTGCTTAGAGCCTCCAGCAGGGAGATGATACTGGGACTTGAGAGAAACTTGCATTTGAGACAGCGTGAGATGAGACAGAGAACACTGGTAGGTTGATCAGCCTCAGCCTGGGCCACATTGGATTGACAAGGGGGTGTAGGGCTCCAGAGGAGCTCAGTGGAACTCAGACTACTGATACTTCTATATGGAGAAAAAGGGGTAAGAGTTGAGCAGATGATTGAAAGCGTTTTTATTTCCCACTTGCATCACTTCTGTTTGACAAAGGGAGTTTCTGTTATGCTTTTAATTTCTTCAAATTTTTTTTCCCTAAATATTATAAAAATAGTATTACAGTTATATCTATCATTAGGAAACCGTATGATTTTGAAACCTTACTTTAGTTTCTTTGTTCCTTTTTGTTACAAGACTTAGGCTGAACAAATCAAACTATGTAATCCCTTGTGGATTCATCCATGCCATTAGGATTGCTTTTCTTAGCCACAGTTAACAATGGTGTAATGGGTTTTACAACATTTTATTAAGTTGAAATGCATCAATAGCACTAATGATAAACAATTGTGGTATTTCAGGAAGACGAATTTCCAGCTCTTACTGCACATGCCAACCTATGGAGCCTTTGGGCAGCACTTGACTGTGTGGCATGAAAATAGGAAGTGATTGTCCCTTACAAATATTTTAGTGCTGTGGCACAGACTTAAGGAAACTAGTCTTGGATATCTCTGGTAAAAAGTACATAACAGCATTACTATCATCTAGATGAAAACTCCTCTTTGACTGATGAGTGTTGCCTGAGTCTGTGCTGTTGGCTGGTGTAAATCAGGATAAAGTGGTTTGGATTGGCTGTGGGGAGGACAGGAATGGGCTTTATTGTTGATGCCAATCATAGGACAGGGTGTGGTACCCCCTCCCTTCCTCTCCTTCCGAGCACATAGGGCCTGCCCTGGCTTAGGATGATAAACTTAATATGAAACTACAGATAAGGTGTATAAGGGTTTTTTGGAATTCTACTTTCTCCTGCATCTATAGAAAAAGAAGGCTTCAGTTAAGACCTAATTGTGGCCTTGCACTACCTGAAGGGAGCCTACGAGAAAGATGGAGAGGGACTTTTTACAAGGGCACGTAGTGATAGAACAAGGGGGAATGTATTCAAACTAAAGAGAGTAGGTTCAGATTAGGTACTAGGAGGAGATTCTTTACTGTGAGGGTGGTGAGGCACTGGCACAGGTTTCCCAGAGAAGCTGTGGATGTCCCATCCCTGGAAGTGTTCAAGGCCAGGTTGGATGGGGCTTTGAGCAACGTGGTCTAGTGGAAGGTGTCTCTGCACAAAGCAGAGGGGTTGGACTAAATGGTCTTTAAGGTCCCTTCCAATCAAAGCCATTCTCTGATTCTATGATCTTTCCCTGTAGGAAAAAAAACCCAAAACAGGATACCTTTTAATGCCTAACTGATAGTGTTGTCTACCTTAATTAATGATTAGTCATTAACCAGTGCCAACAGTATCTTTAACTGAAGTTTTCCCAAAGAAATGATTAGTTGCTGTTAACAGTGGACATCGGTATTCTACATTCAGCAGAAAGACTGCAGCTGTGTTTTTCAGGCAGGTAGCAAGGCTGCAGAGGATGTGGGTAGCTTGAATGCAAATTATGGTGTGACTTCTCCTTTTGGATTTCCTTGAGCTTGTGCAAAAATTGTATAAGCAGCTTGCAACATGGATGTGTTCATGACCTTTGGGTGACCAAGTTAAACATAGCCTTGAGGAAGCTCAGCAAAACAGTTGCAAAGCTGCATATGGCATCATAAGACAAGGAGGCTGCATGCTGTGCTTAACTGGGGGAGGGAAGATGAGTATTTTAACAGATCTGTCCTGATCAGATTTCAGTGATGGTATTTATTTTACAATACTGGCTACCTGGAAATGTACAGTGGACCTTGGATCAGACCTGATTAGTTTGTCCCCAGGTCTTCAGTCAGCTCAAATAGGATGGATCTTTGCACTTTGACCAGTTTGAAATCGCTGGAATTCAGCACATGGACAAACACTCCCCCACAAAGGCAGCTGTCATTGTTACATTGGACTCTTTACCTTCTTTTACAACTTGAAAATCGCCACTTTCCTGAAACATCAATATTAATTTTAGATTGTAACGATATAGAATTCAACAAACATAAGAAGGATAAAGTAGTGTGAATAACTCTTTTATTTTGTAACAAGCTGTTCACTAGGGATTGAAGTGTGATAATCACATTTAATAACAGTGATAAGTATTTATTTAGTTATCTTGTATTTATGGTTTGGTCTACAAACACTGACTTGGCGTTAAGAGTTTACCAAAACCCAAGTAGGTCAGTCTGGTAAATGCTGACTTGAAGTGAACTTGAGTGAAAATAAGAGCTTCATCTGATCTTTATGAAACGTATGAACCTTATGATCAGGACCATACAGTGTAGTGCTTAGTTTGCCAGTGCAGATGGAGAAAAAAAAATATTAGAGATTAATTCAGGGCCGTCAAATTCCTGGTTTTTCTATATATATATATATATTTTTTTAAATGGTTAATCACAAAACAGTGTGATAACTAGAAAATGTTAGGAGTCCCATCTGCCTAAAGATGGGTTGGCTTCATCTCTGTGTTTGTACCATGCTTCCTTATGCAAACTTAATGGGCTTACAAAAAAAATCTTGCAAAGTGCAAGCTTACATATAATCAGCATGTTATCATTGCCTGAAGTAGTAAGATTCTGTAGATGGGATTGAATTAAATCAATGTTATGGATAAAAGATTTCATAACCAAGCAAACAAAGAGGTTAAAGATTAATTTGTTGGAGTAACTCTAGAGCTCCTTTCTTTCAAAAATGCCAACAAACCAACAAAAAGCAAGATGCCACAAAAATCAAAAGCAAACCCTCAGCTCAAACTTACCTCGGTCACAGTAGTATCAATGGGGTGAAGAAAACACCCATGGAAGTGAGATGAGGACCCAGCTTTGTTGTGCTCTCCATAAGCTGCCCATTGGCTGACACACGGAGTATGGCAGAAGCACATTCCATACAGCAGCAAAGGGAAGTGTTGCTCACTGACCACCTGGTTGCATTGTGCTGTATCTGTTACCCATCTTTAATGAGAGGCCTCTGTCAAAGTCTTCAGTTTTGCTTTAATGCGAAAGCAGACACCTCAAAACACCTGAATTATTCAGCTCACAATTACAGGTGTTGGTATGGAGACTTTATTATGGTATTAAAAGGCATTGTAATAGCAGGAACAACCTCTCTGGTTTTTAAGATTTTATTGATTTGGCCAACAGTGAAATACGTTGAGTAACCGTACCAGGTCTGCATATGAGTTACAGAACACGTAGCTGCAACAGGAGGCCTTATATTCCTCATATGCTGGACCAAGAGTAACCCAAACAATTATAAATATGATGTGTATGTCTTATGTAAAACAGATTGAAATGGAAAATCCAAGAGTGGCATTGTGTGAAGGTTAACAAGCTCTGCCTAAGTGGAAAATTATGAAATTTGCATAGAGCTGGTAGAAGAAAGGGAGCAATGGCTACATCTGCCTCACCTTCTGTTAGTCTTGACTAGCTGGGAAGTTGTTCAAATGGGATATATTCTGGGTTCTGCCTGTCTTACAAATGGTGAAGGTCATGAACAAGATGACTGCACTGTTCTTGACCAGCTCCAAAATTCCTTGATTTGCTCCTGTTATGCTGTAGAAAGAATAAGGACATTCAGATACTAATGTACCCAAATTCTTTTGGGAGATAAAGATAGCCTTCACTGAAGCATCATATGGCTTTTTCCCCCTCTGCAGCTTATGCTTAGAGTGTCTTTAGATTATTCGTGGTGGAAGTTGTACAGATGCTGGTTATCACACACAAAGGAAATAAATGCATTCAAAACCAGTTAAAAACAAACCTTGACAAATTCTAAATAACAGAGTACTTCTAAATATTAGAACATAATCTACACCTGAAAAAGTTTATGAGCTATCACTTTATGTGTCCATAGCCAGTAAATCTATTTTGACACCACCTTGGACTCAGCAAATAATTGGAAAGCACATGATAAATAAAAATTAGGTATTAAATGGGCCAAAAATACCTTCCCATAGAGAATCCCAACTATGCTGGCCAATTAAATAGAACAGCAGCAATCCACCAGATGAGCTCCATCTGAAATGCAGAGCAGGGAGGACGCAGTATACGTTCTCGACAATCTCACTATATAAAGACCCAGTCTGATGCAGGACTTAGTAGATGGAGTGATGGGACCACAGCCAGCCCCAGCATTAGACATAAGCAGTCTTCTCTCTTCCCCAGTATTTTTGTACACTGATATTTTTATATCCTGATTTTGTGTATCTCTGTCTTCCATGTCGCATGGCCTCCTTGGCTTGGTTTGCTCTGAGAACACCACGGAAACTGTGTGTCAAACTTTATTTCTTACTTTATGTTGGACAGGACTTCAAGCATTGCACTGGAGTTGCCTCACTGGAGCCAGAGTTTCTTCTTCTGTCTGTGTCTAACTGTATAAAATTCCCTTGGGCAAAATTACAAATGCAATAATGCCTGGTTATAAAATGTTTACTTGTTCTCATTTAGGCTTACAAAAATTTTGGAATGAAATATTAACTTAAAGAGCTATGTAACAATCCAACTTGCATCATATTTAATGATTCCTGGTTTAAAAAAAAAAAAAAAAAAAAACAAACAGCCAAACAAACAACAACCAAAACCCATTTTAGGACAAATGCTACTATTTCAATGCTACTTTTTATTCACTCAGAAAAAAAAATACATTTTGTTTAGTCATTCTTATACTAATGGCCCTAAAACAACTCAAGATCTTAACTTGGCATCCTGCAGTCTTGTTAAACGAGCACTGTCTAAGATCTGATGTCAACTGAAGCTAGTAGAAGGGAGAAGAAAAATGTGCATTTATCACGAGCCTGAAAGTTTTGGTCATGCCTGTGATGTTTCCTCTGAGGCCTATATTTTTTTTAATGTGAAAAAACTTAGCCTTTCATCCAAGGGTTTAAATATTAGAGAAAACTAGTAAAAATGAGAACTCTGTATGTTAGAGCCAAGGGAACTGGTAAGGCTGCAGCTGGCTCATCTTTGCGAAGAGATCTGGAGATGCAAGCAAGGGAAGGAAACTTGTCAGGGGGCTGAGATTCAGTTAAAGCCTTTTTACATAAATTCAGGAATGTGACAAGTGTTAAAGTCAATGCCACAATTTACTTCCTTTTGAACTGCTGCTTCATGTTACCCTGAAGTGTCCTTAAAATAATTAAAGTGCAAACAAAAGCATCTTTGACCAAAAGGTCGAACAGACTGATAACATTTACTGGAAAGAAATTACAAAAGGCAAGTGGCCTGGGTTTTATGTTTTGTGTGTGATAAATGAAGGCAAGCCTTCAAAAGGAACTCATGTGCCTGAAAGATTACTGAAAATAGATCTTTTAAAAAGCATGTCTGCTGTTGGATAACTACAGGAAAGAGCATGGGATCAGCTTGCCACTGAAGTTCAAGGGACTTGGACAAGCACGGTTCCTCCTGAGGTGCAGCTGGTGGAGATGGAGTAACTGATACTGTCCTTTAAATTTAAGAATCTACTTGGAGAATGGAAGTGATTTTGCCTTTCTTACAGAGGTTGCAGTAGAAGATACTGTTACAGAGTATTTTGGAAGGTTTAACTGTTGTAAGGAAAATGTTAAATGTTTTGAAGACAGTAATGCAAAAATGCTTCACACTGGGGTATTTGATACTGCAAAGCAGCTCAGAATTGAAGTTTAAATGTAATTTTTTTTTTTCCATATCCTAAACCTTCCTCCCTGTTGTGTTTTGGTGTGGGTTTATCTTTTTTCCCCCTTTGTTCATTGCAGATTATAGAAAACATAGGTTCTTGATGCTTCTTTAAACTGTGACTTTTCCAAATCTAATGCTAACTACTTCACTTGAGATGCTTTCTGTATTTATGTTCCCCTGAGTATATTCCCCATTTTATATTATGCATCTTTCAGCAGCCCGTGCTCTGCATGTTTCCACTTCTGTAGTTCCTCATGGCAGTTTAGTCTTCCATGTTTCTATCCTGCTCTTTTTTTTAAAATAAAATGTTATATAAATTTTATTTTTAAAAGTAGCCAGTTGTTTCTTTTGAGAGGCTGGAAGCAGTAGTTGTTTTCTGCTCTAGAATTTCTGAGACTTCTCAGAAAATTTGTTTTCTTGTCCTTGCTCTCTGTATGACAGAGATTATGATTTGTAAAAGGCTATTTTGTTTTTATTGTTGTCAGCACATGAGTGCACCCTCCTAACCCTTTTTTCTCCAACCATATGGCATCTGCAGGTTCAGTTTGCTGCAAGGAAAGCAAGCAGGGAGAGCTGATTGAATCTGGTTGTGACAAATGAACAGCTTTTGATTTGCCAATCTTTGGCCCAGACTGAGGTTCAAAAGCATTCCAAAATTTGCTGTTTGCTAACTTCAGAAACCAATCCTTCAGCTAGCTGGCCTCTGCAGCTCCAAGCCTGGATTCCATTATGGCTGTGACTCCTGGACTGCTTGGATGTCCACGCTGCCACTTCCTCCTCGCAGCTCCGCTCGCAGGCAGCTCTAGGGCTACAGCCAAGCTGGGATGCAAGGATGTGCCACTGAAGGGCAGAGCATGACAATGACAGCAGCTCAATCACTTCTGGAAGTGCACCCAGACATGAGAAACGTCACCTTCTTCAAAAGGCTTTCGAGGGGTTTGTGACTGACACCTGACTGGAATCGTGCAGCCAGAGCCAGTGTTCAGGTCCAGCCTATGCAGTAACCTGTGTACTCCTCAGGATAACTTGTTAAAGCAGACAAATATAACAGATGTTTGCTTATTACTGTGTCACACTCACACCTCTAACACGTTTTCTCTTCCTACTGGCAGGAATAAGTCCAACCTTCTTCTGTGTTTTTGGTCTGTGGGTTTTTATGATGGTAAGTGGGAGACAACTCCAATATTTATTTATCTGCTCCAGCAATCATTGACATTGGTTAATGACCTAATTTTACTAATGTTCATACCCGTAGCTACCAGTTAATAAGTACATTAAAATGTATTTTTACAATGATCAATAGTGACAGCCCTGTCTGTATTTCTGTGAAGCTGAAAAGAGGAAGTTATAGGGGGGATATTCAGTCAAAAAACATGTAAACTTTAGAGAAATTATTAAAAAGGCCATGAAGTGAGAGCTGCTTATATTAATACTTGGCCCTTTTTTTGCATTTATAGTAGTAAAAAGACAAAGTATATATAATGAAAGCTCATGAAGCTCAGAGATTGACAAATGGCTTCCAGAAAATGGAATTTATTTTTCTTAAAATCGAAACCAAAAATCACTTGTGATACTTCTGGGCTTCAGAGTTATTGACCTAATAAAAAGTTGCTGCTTTTAGTTGTCTCCTTCTTTCTGTTTGCAGTAATGGCACACATGTAACTTTGTACTAGAAAGGATTCTTCAGAGGCTCAGACTGGGTGGCACAGCTGGCTTCTCAAGAGCAGTGGGGTTATTTCATTGTGCACACTTCCTAGGACCTGGTTTGTCCACGGGAAGACCAGGAAATGAGGAATAGGGGTGGGTCTTTGCTACGAGCTCATTCAGCAGAATGCTAAACCACAGCTTCCTAAGCTCTAAGGCAGTCACTGACAAAGAATGAATGCTTTGTATGGCTGCTTCCCCATGTGCAATTCCTTTCTGCAGGATAAATTGCCTGATTCATTACTTGTCTAACATCATTTCTGCAGTCCCTCATTGGACGCACCAGGTTTCAGAATAGTGTTCCAAATTGTGCAGTGTGAATAAAATTAAGATAATACATTTTTAGAAAAAGTATAATAAATATTTTTAATCTTGGAATTATACATAAACCAAGCTTCATTTTGCTGTTGGATGTAAAAAACGAAAATGTATGCTTAACAATGGCCTAAAAATTGTTCTTTTTCTACTTGAGAATTTTGGAGCAAAATTTTGCTGAAAATAACTTCAAGTGTATACCCAGAGTTGTTTGTATGACATATATGGAAAAAAAACTCCAAACCAACATAAAACTCAAGTTCTACTGATGGTGGTAGCACTTCAGAACAGCTCAAGCTGACTGCATCATGATTACTGAGCACAACTGTCAGGTTTAACCTAGGAATAAAAATAACACAGGCAAAAAACCACTCAGACTTGGAAACACTTATGCAAGATGTGTGCTTTGTGTCAAAAAGGTCAGAAGTTTAGTGTTGTTTTGTTTTGCTCAAATAGAATACGATGGTATTATTTAGTTGTTTGCATTTTTAAGTTCTCAAATTAAATTTATCTGCAATAACAACTTTGTTTGCTTCCTGGAATAGAGGTTGGGATTTAATTTTGTTGATGGTACAGTCATCTCTGAAGCCTCATTGTCTAGGAAACGGTAGACTAGCTTTACACATGGCATGGTTAGTATGTGAAACCGATATGTTTTTCAGTCCACATATTACAATTTGAACTTTTTTTTCCCCTTTTTTCAGCACAAAAGACCTTCTAGCACACCTCCTTGTTAAGGTGGTTTCAGCTGCTACTCCTCCTTAAGAACACAAGCAGAGTTAAAATCCCTTGCAAAGCCATTCTGCTCAGTGTAAGTGTTTTGACAGTTCAAGAAAACAGAGGGAACAGCCTGGTCAGGCCAGAGAGACTTGATGGAAGTCTGGCAGCACTCTTCCATGGCCTCTTCAGGGGTTATAGAGAGGACAGGAGCAGACCTGCGTCTGACAGGCACAGCGAACAGACAAGAGGCAACAGCCCTGTATCACCACAAGGGATGATGCAGTTACACAGAAGGCAAAAAATCTTCACCCTGGAGTGATTTTGTAAAGGTGCAGGTTCTCTGGATGGGGCTGTCAAGTCTCTGCCCTCAGCTACTTCTGTGCTGGCATCAGGTGTATTTGTAGGTTGGAGACCATCACAGAGTTGGTTTGGAGGTAGATGACGTTTGTGGCCCTGTTGGGAAGGGTAGAGAGAAGGAAGACTGGAGAAGTTGATTTGTAAAAAGCATGCACAAGGGACTGACTACAAGGAGAAGACAAAATGCACTGTTGCTCTCGGGGCCCAAAGGGTCCTTCTGGTGGTGCTGAGGGAACCTGTGACAGCGTCCTCTTCTACCTTCCCCGATTGCCCAACTTTAACCAAAAAACAAGGGCGAGGGGGAGTCGTGGGGCCGAGCCATGCTGCTCCCTGGACACAGAACCACAGTTACACGGGATGCACAGGATTGCTTATCCAATTCAACTCCCTGCCCTGCACAGGACACCCCCAGGAGTCACACCGTGTGCCTGGGAGTGTTGTCCAAAGTCTTCTTGAGCTCTGCCAGGCTTCGTGGTGTGACCACTGCCCGGGGGAGCCACCTCCAGGGCCCAAACCACCATGTCCTAACATCCATCTTAAACCTGCCCTGACACAACTTCAGGCCATTCCCCGGCCCGTCCCGATGTGGCCCCGCCCGGCTCCGGGACGGGCGCAGGAGCAGCCCCTGCCTGTGCCCCCTCCGCGGAGCGCGGCTGTCCGCGGGCGGGCCCGGGATGCGCTGCGGCATCCGTCCCAGTGTCTCTGCGTGTCTGCCTGTCTGTCTGTCTGTCCGCGAGAGCGGGAGGGCGCGGGGGGCTGCGCGCTGCCCGGCGGGGGCGGCGCTCGCTGCAGCGCCAGCCCCGCTCCCGGGCGGTCACGGCGGACGCGGCCGGGGCGGGGAGCGCGGCCCCAGCGCCCGGCATGAACCCGCGTCGGGGGCTCGGAGGCGGCGGCGGTGCCGAGGTACGAGCCCCCGCCCCCGGCAGGTGCAGGGTCCTCCCCCCGCCCGCGGCACCGCCTGCCCTTGCGGGTCCGGGGCTCGGCGCGGTCCCGCCCGCGGAGCACCGAGCCGAGCCGGCAGGGAGGGGAAGGGTAAGCGAGGGGAGGGGAAGGGAAAGCGAAGCGTGCCAGGCCCGGCCGCGGGCGCGGGAGAACCGAGGTGAACCCGCGGTCTGCGCCTGCCCGCCCGGCCCGGCGCTCCCGCCTCCCCCGCGCTCACGCCGCCCGCCCCCCTCTCTCTCTCCGCAGGGAGCCGCAGGGCGAGCAGCGCTGCCGCGGCCGGGCCAGCCACCTCCGGGTCCATGAGCCGCCGGCCCGGGCCCCTGTCAGCCGCGCCGGGGCGGGGGAGAGGCCGCCGGCAGCCGCCGTAGCTCCCGCCGCCTTTTCGGGGAGGGGGAGATGGAGGGCGACCGGGAGCACGCGTGTGTGCCCCGCCGCGAGTGCGGGCTGGGGTCCCCCGGAGCCCGGGAACGGAGGCGGCGCCGGCCGGAGGGTCGCGCCGGAGCCTTCGTGCCCCCGGGGCGGGGGTCGCTGCCTGCCCCGTGACTCACGGCGGGAGCGGGCTGGGGCTGGGGCTGGGGCCGCGCCGGCGGACATCCGCGCCTCGCCCCCTTGGGGAGCGCTCCCTGTGCCACCTTGGTTTTGGTTTTTGCTGTCCCCGCTCGGGGAGCGCTCCCTGTGCCACCTCGTTCTCCCTCTGCCCGCAGGACGGTCCCGCGCCCTCCGCTGTGAAGAGCATGGCCATGACTCTAGAGCAGGCCCAGAGGGTGGGCTATACCTGCCTGAAAGCACTCCTCAGGTTCGCTTTTATGGTCGCCAATAACCTGGTTGCTATTCCGTCCTACGTCTTGTATTTAATTGTGCTGCAGCCTCTCCGAATATTGGACAGCAAAAGCTTCTGGTATATCGAAGGAGTGTTATTTAAATGGCTTTTAGCAATGGTGGCTTCCTGGGGCTGGTGGGCAGGATACACAGGTAAGAACGCCTTATTAATTTAAAACATACTAATATGTTACAAGACTGTTTTCATAAGGGTAGATGTATAAGGAAATCTACTACTGAATGTAATAGATATGCAGGATGTTCTTCTGTAAGTTGTCTTACACAGATGTATTTCTGGGTTGAGATGCTGGGTACTGAAACATTTTTAAGTCATACCTAGAAACTTTGTATGTTTTAAGTGGTTTGCCGTCAGTATTTTGTGCTAGTAAAACGGGAAATATGACTTCTCCTTAGTATCTTGATCATGTTATTTTAGTGTTTCACAAAAAAGATATGTCTCCTCAAAAGAGACTTGATTTGTACTGTGCGAGTAGCTAGCCGAACTAAACTTTTCTTGTATTAAGTGTGTGCATTTCTAAACCATCTCCCCTTAAAAATATCAGGAGACAAGGCTAAGAAGTTTGACACAGAGCTTATGTCAGAAGAGTAGGTCTTCTATTCCTTGCAACAGGGACTTGTCTTTTCTGCTGTCTCAAAGCAGAGGGAACCTCTTTCATTCAAGTAGTGATATGGAATATTTCTCAACCGTATGACTCTTCATTTACTGTTAGCAGAGCTAATTACGGTATCTGTAGGGTTTTTCTCTCTGCATGCTTGCTTTGTGGTTATTACTGAACTTGTTTTTGCTCGTTTAGTATTCATAGGCTCATCAAGGTGATGGACTGAACTGAAATATTAAGGAAGGCTCTGGTCTTGTCCTCGAATGCACTGATTTTCATCCTGGCTACTGCACTTCATGCAAAAAATCAGCCGTCAGCTCTTTGTGTGAGCTTTGGAAAGGGAAGAAATGAATCTATTGAGTGCAAAGTATGAGCAGCCCTCCTAAAATTCTTTCCTTCTCTTCTGCCCAGGCTGCATCTGCAGGTCTTGTGTAAACAAGAAAAACAAGGAATGGCAGCAGACAGCTCTGGAGTCTGGTCAGACTCCTGATTAGTCAGAAAGTCAGTGTTGACCCAGACGGAGTCTTGTTAGGCAACGAGAGCTGACGCCTCTGTGCCAGTGTGGCTTTTGGTACCCTGTCGTGTGCCCTTCCGAGATGCACAGAGTTTCTGTGGATCCTCTAGGTGAGCTTTCCCTTCTTTTTAAGGACATGGTGGCAGCAGCAGCAGCAAGCTAGACTCTGATTTGTCGGGCTAGAGCTGTCGCAGCGTTGCACTGCTTCAAAACTGCTTTGCCTGGTACAGCTCAAGCTTATCCAGAGATGCTGTTTAAAGACCTTTTTATATGTTTGCTCATTAAAAGAAGTCCACATAGTGTTTGCAGTGGCAGGTACACTTGTAAAAGTCTGCTTTATGTTGTAAAGCATGAAGTCCTTCCAGAAGGAAGGACTGACTTTCAAGGTGTCTTTGTAAGTTTATGGCCATAATGGTGATGTTAAAGTCATACAGCTCATGACCCCGAGGATTCACTGTGTGTACTGAATGTGCTGGTTAAAATTCATTGTCCTATGACAATTTTTGAAAGCCATTTCCTCAGGGTAGTTTTACTGCTGACTGCAGAACTGTGTGGTTTCTTTTGCCTATTGCTTGGAAGGTGGTCTTAGCATGATCTGCATATCCTAGAATCTTCCTGAAGCATCTGTTGGTTGGTATTGCTGATGTACTTGACAATTTTAAATCATTTGTTTTACAGTCTTGAAATGTCTTAGTATATTTGTTTGAAGTATTTACAAACTGCTATGCAGAAGTGTTTTAAGGGGTGGTGTATGGGTAAGGAGGCCCTTCTTTTGCTTTTCACTGTGAAGCATGGCTTTTGGGGAGGATTTTGAGTAAATGCTTGTATGAAAGTTTAGTTTAAATGCATTTTATTTGACATAAAGGCATTAGTGTGTTTTATACTGAAATTATATGAATTAGCAAGAACAGCTTATTTCCTTATCCTTTCTTTAACCTCATCAGTGCTCTCTACCACTTGCAGAACAAACCTGGAAAGTGTATAATTCTGGCTTCAACACATTCATACAGAGTAATCTGTGTGTCTTTTTTCAGATTAATAGATTTATACAAATCTGCCACTAGGTCCCCTCTTATTTATACAGTATGACATAACTAACTCAGAACTGAAATACTGCTTTATTAGAGTTGGTGTCCAAGACTTGCAGTGGTACGTCTGAAAGAGACATTGCTCCAGAATTCTTCTGTTCTAAATTCCAAAAAACTAAGTCAAAGGTAGGCTTCAGTATGTCCTATCTTTGCAAAAGTAAATGTAAGACAGTAGGTATGCATGGGTTCATTGAAAAGATTAAAGTTTTTTCTTTTGAGTAGCAGAGTAGTTGTTGAAGGTTTTTTTGTTGGTTTGTTTGTCTTTAAGAGGGTAACCAGATAAATAAGTTTGTCTTTTAATTGGAGAGAGTGGTCTGCTTCAGTTGTGTTGCAAGTATGCTTCAGTTCTTTTGTTTATTTATTTTTTCCCTTTCCAAGACTGGGTCATCTCTTGGGTAAGAAGTGACATAAATAATTTGTAATTAAGGACTTAAAGTCAGCCTGCAAAATAGATTCAGGGCAGACTTTTTTTTCTCCCATAATTTGTGTGTAATGTGTAGGAGAAAGCTTGACACCAAATGAAGAGAATATGGTGAGTGCTAGGTTATCCTTCTGGGCTTTGCTTTGTTGCATAATTGTTGGTATAATTTACTGAATATAGCTGGAAGAGCTAAGGAAGAACTCCTGAATGATGTCTGCCCTTCTCTTCCTTGCCCCTGTCTAAACCTGAGGGTTTTTGTTAGGAACATAGAGGATTTATTACAGAAATTATCTGATCTGTGTCTGTATCAGTAGCTCTAATCTGTGCTTTTTGATGAATGTAGGTGTTTCTGTTTGCAGATGCACTTGATATTATGTAAAGAAATAGTATATGACTGGACAAGCAAATTAAATAAGGGACTGGAAAGAGAAATTGTAAAGGTCACTGTCCTCTCCCTAATCTTTTTCTTCTTAAGATGCAAGTATGAGAGAGAACTTGTGCATAATTGGTTTACTTTGATTTTTAAAGGGCAGAATATGATAAATATCTCTGTTGTTCTCTTGAGCTCCAAAGAGTTTCTTACAAAAATGAAAACTGGATATTTTTTTATGAAGAGTGTACAGACAGTCTAGCAATGTTATTTTATTTTTATATGATTTCAGAAAGGCCTTCTTATAACTCTTCTAAATCTCCTTTTTAAAGGCTTTTTAAAATAAATGCATTGCTCTTGGAGGAGCTGTTCAGCCAGGGCACTTGGAATCTGCATATTAGTGTGATCTGAAAGGCACCTTTGAATAATACTTCTAAATATTAGAAGCATTGTTGGAAGAAGCGTTCTAAAAAAAGCAAACTCAAGAGTGCTTGAACCTTTGTTGGCAAGTACCTTTTTCCCCTCTACTATAATTTGTCATTTAATATATGAGTACACCAGATAGCACTAAGTGGTGTGGTAGATGGGAGGGAGATGTAGCATGTCTGTGGTGGTGAATTTCTGATGATCTTTTGCTCACCTACAAAACCAGTTTTAAAGTAGTCATCTTAGAGATTTCGTCTTCTTTGGTGAAGTATTGCAGACTAAGTGTAATATCCATGTACTTAATCAAATCACCAAAAACAGGACTGCTAGAGATGAGGTTGCTTAATTAATTACACACAGGCAAACTGTTTTGCTGCCTCTGCTGCAGTCCAAATGCAGGAGTGGGTAGGAGCCCGTGATGGTGTTGTTGCAGTATTGCAATGAGGAGTCTCTAGGACAGCAGAGCAGTCAGCTGGCAGTGCAGTCCTGACCCTGGGGGTGCTGAGGTTCTGCTCCACTGTGCTCCACTAAGCTCATCTCAGCATGGGGAGCAGTGCTGGTGCCCGGTCTGCGCCTCTGGCTGTGGATGGGGAGGAGCTGGCAGAGGGTGAGTGTCCTCTGGCTGCAGCAGTCACCAGCTCTTCTGTCAGCACCAGGGGAGAGAAGCTCTGGGCTCTGCAGGCTTGTGTGCACCTGGGCATGGGGATTCTTCAGATCTGTGCCTGGAGTATTTCATACTCCAGCACAAGGAGGACTCCTTGACAAAACCTTGCATTTCAGCCTCTCAGTGACACACAGAGCAGTATTGGATAGGTCAGCGGGCTGTGTGCAGGTGAAGAGTAATACACCTGCTACCACACACTAAAAACTCTTAGTGCTGTGACTATGCTTGCTGGTATAATGATGCAGTACTTCATTAAAAGTGGACCAATTCTATGGTGTTGCTGTTCTGTGTCAGCCAGGATGGTGACTAATTTTAAAGAGTGTCTATAAGGATTGTCAGGTTTTGTCAAGTGAGAAGAATTTCTCTTTCCTTCTCTGTTCAGCCAAGT